CCCCCGGCCCGCTGTGTGTGAAGGGGCGGCGGCGGCGGCCCCCGGTAGGGGCTGGGCCTGGCGGCGGCCGGAGACACCTCCTCACCCCCCTCAGGACCTCCGGTTCCGCAGGGGGGGTGCCGGGGGCCATTCACCGACGGCTCGGAGGCACCGCACACGTTAAGCTCTGGGGAAAAGGTGGTTTTCAGGAAGGCTGGGAAAGAAAGAAGGGACAGAAAACTAGAGGAAGGAGAAAATCTTTATTCTTTGGTGTTTTTTTGTTGTTGTTTATTTTATTTCTTTTTTTTTAAGGCAGCCGAATTTGATAATGAAAGCAATTAGTAAATAGCAGGAAGTGACAGGAAATGAATATGTAGCAGCAGTATTGCTATGTTGTTTGAGCTGCTGCTCTTGCTACCTGTTGGCCCTGTTGGTGAGATTGCAGGCCGACAAATGTACCCACAGCTTGCAGGGTAGGGTTCAGGAATCATTAAGTTTAGCTACTACAGTCCTCATGCTTATAAAAATAACGTACAATACAAATTTATTTGAATCGAATCTATTTCCTTAATTGGAGTTTTTTTTTCCTTAAGTGTCCAGGTGAAGCTAAAATAGATCCAAATCTGGGACTCAAGTCAAAAGTTTTGTTTTTTGTAGGCAGCCAGATGAGCAACTACAGAGAATTTTAAATTCCAAGGATTAGTGCCGATGTCTTGCCTGAAGGAATCCTAGTTCAGATTTGGAGCCACTATGAGTTACCGTGATACAAAGAATAATTCTCCTTTTTGGATACAAAAGTAGGAGATGACCCCTGCCCCCCTGAAGCTGCTGTGCAGTGACAGAGGGACAGTTTTGGTGGAATTTGCCCAGCCGCATCTCATACAAAGCACACACGTGTCTTCCCCAACTCATTTGCTGTGAAAAAGAGCGCCAGTGGCTTTGCTACAAATTAACTTCTTTTTCTCCTTTGTGGTTGGGTCTAAATGAGAAAGTGCATGGGAGGGTGAATACGTCCTGTGTTTAAAAATTTGTATCGATGCCTACAAATTATCAGAGGCGTTAACTGCATTGTAGTCTGAATGCCAAATGTATTCCAAGCTCATGGAGAAGCCTGAGAGGCTTTCCTTATGCTGGCTAGAGGATTCATCAGCCATCAATTGAGTTAAGGACTGCTCTTCAAATTCTTAAATATGGATCTGATTAAATCAATTTCTGTAAGTAACAGTTTAGCCAGCTAGTGTGGAAGGTCATCCTTTGTCTGGGATATTTTTGTAGTCCAGTAAGAATATGAGACCAGAATTGGAAGGAGAAATGAGGAGCAAGAAAAGCAGATGTTTAAAAGTAATGCAGTATGATCTCTATCTACATAATATTAAAAAGAGCTTAAACTGCTAAACTTGAGTGAATGCATTAATTATCTGTGATAACATAACCAGTCTGACTGGAGACCTCAAACACATATACATATCACATGGAAGTTAAAATGAAAACTCTTGTTGATTAACAGGAAGGAATTAATATTACTGTGTATATAGGAAAGTTGTACATGTCAAAATGCTTATGCTTTCTATAACACGTGTAGCACAGAAAACATAGATTAAAATTGTGCTCCGGGCACACATGAAGCTGTTAATGGAAGCATTTTGTAAGTAAACAAGCCTCAACCTTTCTATGATGGTAGGGTCTCTGAAAGACCCTTCCATGTTAAAAAAGTATTAACATGTGCTCCTCAGAGCAGAGGGAACAGCTAATGAAATTACCAAATAAAAATGCTTTTGAGAGGTTGGACCTTGCAGGACATTCTGGGTGCTCAAGAGCTCTTCAGAGAGAACATTTCAAACTCTGCTGCTGTCTTCTTAGTTTTCCCCCACCTTAATGGATGAGGGCAAGATATTCATGCTATGTTTGTAAATATTTGGGGGGGAATGGTAGAATTTCTGGTGGTTGAATTATCCTTACTTCTGTTACTTACCTGGTACAGTGGGGAAACATCAGTTGGGGAAAATGTGAGGATTTCTTTAAGCTTGGCTTAGAAGATCCTAGCCTATGATTTGTCAAGGGGCCTAAGAAAGTCAAAAAATCAGCTTGGAGCAGATTTTTTTGCTGTAGCTCAAGAAAGGCTCACTGACCTTTTCTGCTTAAAATAAAATCTCTTCTTTGGGCAAACGGCCTGGCTAAGAAATTGATTTAGTTGATTCTTTCAGTACCTTAGAACGTTTCCTGAAACAAATATCAAGCTGCATATTAATTAGGCTCATGACTCTGGTAAGCCTTTATAGTTGCTGGCTGATTGCTAAAGAACTGTTCAAGGAGTTTAAGTAGATTTCCTTTTCAGTAAAAAAAGTGCAAGGTTTCTTAAAAAAATAAAAACTTAGGCTGAAAATCTGGGTCTTGAAACTTAATCTATAAAGAATGAGTATGAAAAAATTCAGTGTAAAGCCCAATGGTTTTGGAAATGCTAGTATGTACAAGCATTTTGCAAGTTTAGCAATTCTGGCACTAGGTAATTTCTGCTAATAAACTACTGCAATTAGAAGGCTGGTATTTTAACTATGCAGTCAGTTCTTTTTCTTAACGAAGTTGCTGTCTTTCTCTATCCTGTTCAAAATTTTCCAGTTTCATTCCATGCAGTGATGTTTGTGTTCATCTATAGACACCAAGAAAACACAAGCTTTAGTTTTCTGAATTTTTCCTGAGTATTTTTCTCTACTCTGTCAGTTTGAGCTGTTCCTTCTCTGCTGATTTAATTCATTAAAATATTCTAGCCAGCTGTAGTCCTTTGGCATTCTCTTTGGTGCTGGATTTAGACTCCTTAAATACCTTGAAGTCTGTCTGACTGGTAGGAGGGCACATTGAAAAATGAAATAGTTAATGTAATGTTCTTTTTTTTCCCCCTTTGCTACTTACAGAAGGGCATGCACTGCTCAGTTTCCAGATGTTCAATAGTCCTCCTTTTGCACTTAGTGTACTGATACTTTTTACACAGCACAAAGTTTACCTTCATTTCCTTGCTCTGATATATAGTCTCAACAGCAATTAAGAAGGAGGAAAAGGAAAGGCAGACTTCAGGGTGTTCTCAAGAGACATAATTTTTTCCTGTTCATAAAAGACAACAAAATATCTAGACGTTCCTGAGGGAAAGGCAGTATTCAGCTGCTTTAGACTTAAAAAAAAAATTATATATCACATAAATAGCTGTTCTCTTGTGTAGCAAACAGGTGGTGATGTGAAAATAATAAATTTCTTATCTTTAGAAATGAGTTGCACAATTGAAAAAGCCTTAGCAGATGCGAAAGCGCTGGTGGAACGGCTGAGGGAACACGACAATGCTGCAGAAGCTCTTATTGAACAGACCACAGCTCTTAACAAGCGGGTTGAAGCAATGAAACAGGTTTGGTTTTCAACTTCGTTTACTCCATTAAAAGAACAACTTGGAAGCACATAATTTCAAGACGTTTTTGTGTGCTATAGTAGAACGTAGAATGAGTATGTTATTTGGTTAATCCTTTAATGCCATACTAAGTATTTTCATTATAGATGTGACTATGATCGAAAAATAGGGGGTTTATATATTTAGTTTGATCCTGTGAAGAAGTTTTTTCTGTTAACTCTAAATATTGAAAACAAGCATTTATTTGAAGAACACTGGTAGATATGGTGTTGGTGTCTTACAGGTTGTTGTGTGGTGTCTTGTTTTTGCTCTTCTGTGAAATGCTACTTGTTTTGTTAATTTCAAGATGCACATTTAATCATACAGAGGTCCTGTCATGCTTTCTTCTGTTGAGAATAGTTGATCTTTTCACAGTCTCCTTTTGTTTCAAAGTATCCTCTGAAGCTTATTCGTGATCGTTTCCCTTCTGATGTTAAACTGTCCAAGGCATGTTGCTAGATTGAGTCTGACTTTCACTAGAGAACTTCTGGCAGAATAGAAGGGTGCCTACTGACTTTCCATCCTGTCATTTAATAGAACAGCATGTTGCTAGATTGAGTCTGACTTTCACTTGAGAACTTCTGGAAGAATAGAAGGGTGCTGCCTACTGACTTTCCATATGGGAGTTCATCCTCTCATTTAATAGAACCCAGGCCATGTTAATGGGCCTGTAAAATAATAAAACCCTGCATGTGCTTCATCTCTGTAAAACTAATCATGGAGGGGCTCCATGACTTCAAATCAAGAGTATTGTATTTGCTCAGTCCAGATCCATTCCTTCAGGACTTGTAGCCATAAAACCTTGTTGTTTAAGATACTGGGAAGCCACAGTAAATATCTAGAGGTTTAGACCCCATGTTTTTTCTTTACCACATATATATCAGTTTTGACTTACTTGATGGTGAATTTAACCCACATTA